AGAAAAAGAATTAAAAAAATCAAAATATTAAGAAGGAAATAATTAAGAATTTACTAAAATTACTAAAATAAAAAAATAAAAGCAACGAAAAAAAATGGGTAAACATTTTAGCATTTTATCTATTAATTTTATCTATAAAACACAATACAGAAGGTTTCACATTAATATATACATTCACAGTAATTGAATTCCGAGGTAAAAGTCTCTGGGCACTCCACTATACCGCAAGATGCTAAAATATGAGGAGGTTTCCATTTTAAAAAAATCAAGGTGCCTCGTATCTGTCAAAATTGACGTTTTAAAAAATGTTTGCAAAAAATTACATTAAGAAATATTTCTACATCTTTAAATAGGAAGCAGGAATATTGTAAATTGTGTGAGACATTTAAAATGATGTCCCCCTGTACTTTTACCGTTTCGAATGAAATTTTGGTAAAAGTTACTATAAATAATGCGAAATATTTTAAAGCTACAAAATGTTTTTGACATATTCACCAGGGACATAGGTTGTCATTGCCAGGGGCGGATACAGGAATTTATTTTAGGGGGGGCCCAAAATAAAAAGCAATGTAGAATATGCTTTTTAGGACGCCATTTTTAACCCAAAAGCCTAATATTTTACACAATTTAAAGATTTTAGGGGGCGCCCCCCCTCTGTATCCGTAATTGGTCATTGGAATATTTTTCTAAAAAAAAACATGACTAAATCAACTTTTTTCCAATTTCCAAATATCTTGAACACTTCTAGTTTCTAGTGCAACTCAACGAACACAAGTTTACTAAATTAATATAATATGAAAAAAACGGCGTCAGCGATGGTTTATGGAACTCGAGATATTATGTTAAATGGTAGAAATTTACTTGGAAGAAAAATTGAACACACTCGTCTACATGTCATATACAAAGCCAGTAGAGTTTCAAACGCCGCGGTAAATCATTAGAGATCTATTTTTAAATCTGTCTATTTAATGAATAAAAATAACAGGGGGAAGGATAAAACAAATACAGGGGTTTATTTATACATGTTGCCACATCGACATAAACGAAAGAATTATATGTTTTACGAATTTAGTGAAAATAAAAATTGAAAAAAGACATGTTCCAACATTCATTATAGATATGCAGGGTGTTCCAATATTCCGTGGACATAGATATTTTAGGTGTATATGTTTTGCTAAGTGCTTTAATATTTGATTTTCGTATTTTTTATTAGAAGATCGTATTTTTATACTAACTGTTTTTCTTCATTTCCTGCCTTTTAATTTTGAATTTCGCAGGAAGAAATCTCTTACAATACTAATATATAAAATCCGTAAGTGACTGACATACTGATTAATCACGATCCTGCTCAATTTTGGTATATAAGTTGATTCTAGGGTGTCGAGGTTCGATAAGAAGGGATTTTTCGAAATTCCAGTTCCAAGGGGGTGAAACCACCCCTCAAATATTACAATATTTTTTATTTAAAAAACGGTCAAGTTTCCGAAAAACGCTTAAACACGTTTATTTAGTTTTCTTTACATATTTTAAGATTTTTTAAAAATGTATACAGGGTGTTTCGAAAAATCTGCTCATTGATTAATCAGGATCCTGCTTAAAGCGCTTGACGTAAAAAGCTGATTTTTGGAAAACAGATTGACTTTAGGGTGTAGAAGTTCGATAAGCAGGGATTTTTCGAAACTCGAATTCTAAGGGGGTGAAACTATCCCTCAAATATTACAATATTTTTTATTTAAAAAACCGTCAAGTTTCCGAAAAACGCTTAAACACGTATATTTTGTTTTCTTTACATATTTTAAGATTTTTTAAAAATGTATACAGGGTGTTTCGAAAAATCTGGTCATTGATTAATCAGGATCCTGCTTAAAGCGCTTGACATAAAAAGCTGATTTTTGGAAAACAGATTGACTTTAGGGTGTAGAAGTTCGATAAGCAGGGATTTTTCGAAACTCGAATTCTAAGGGGGTGAAACTATCCCTCAAATATTAAAATATTGTTTATTTAAAAACCGGTGAGTTTTTCGGAAAAACTCTTAAACACGTATATTTTATTTTGTTGTTTTACATATTTTAAGATTTTTAATAAATTTATACAGGGTGTTTCATAAAATATGACCATTGAGTAATCACGATTCTGCTTAAACTGCTTGACGTTTAAAGCTGATTTTTGGCAAACGGATTGACTGTTGGGTGTAGAGGTTCGATAAGGAGGGGTTTCTCGAATCTCAAATTCCAAGAGGGTGAAAACGCCCCTCAAATATTACAATATTTGTTATTTAAAAAACGGTTAGTCTTTCGGGAAAAAAAATATTTTGTTTTTTTACATATAAAAAATAAAAATTTGAAAAAGTATAAACGGAATTACTCAACAAGCAAAAATTTTTATGAAGAATGTTTTTTTTTCTCAAAAAGTCCATAATAAAAAAGTTTTCCTCTTGTAAACACAATCCGTGACATACTGATGTAGATAAATATTGTGTGTATGATAATTATTTATGGTCTTAATTTATAATAACAACTGTAGTATTACTGACTCTTTACCTCGTACTAAAATAAATATTATTTGTTTTTAGTTACGTATGTAAGAGATTTCTTCCTGCGAAATTCAAAATTAAAAGGCAGGAAATGAAGAAAAACCAGTTGGTATAAAAATACGATCTTCTCAGTAAACAGTGAGCTTAGGAGAGATGGATATATTTAAAGCCATTTCAATTTATGCGTCCAGTTCGCTGGAGATATATTATTATTATTGAGAAATCAAAAAACTATTTATATCAGAAATTTTGAAAGAAAACTTTAAATTTTTGTAATTTTTTCTCGAACGGAAACTGAACATACAGTATTAAAAATTGTATAATTTTGTAATATTTCGGAATATTTATACAGGGTCCGGCAATAGTGTGTCGGGCATCTGAAGCTCCTAGAATAAAAACTTGAAAATTTTATTTAAGTGCAAACCTAAAGTATGTACGAGGACGTATTTCAGATAAATATTTTAACTTCTCTAGGATGGCTCAAAAAAGTGTGAGTGGATCGGAATGACTTTGAAAGGGGGGACACCCTGTATATTATTGCATGTTTGGCTTTCTTTCATATCAGTTTACATAATCCTTAGATATGAGTAAATATATACTTCGATAGTTTAAGAGATGATAATAAATAAATAAAAATTATATATTTTTCAGCCTTCATTAAATAAAATATTAAAAATACAAGAACTGTCCTAAATTCAAAACTATATTAGGTATTTATGTTAGATGGTCTATACTTAACTTTGCGATAAATATTTTAATCTTAACTCATACAAGGTGTTCAAAATTCTACGCCAAACTTTTTAAACTATAAATAATTTTTCTTTGTTTTTTTTTAATAAAACACCGTGTATATTATATTTTTATTAGATGGAGATTTAAAAAACGAACATTTTTTTAATTAAAAGTATTTCAAAATTTTTAATGGCTCCGCAGATACACGCAATATTAATTCATATGGCTCAACGGTAAAATACGAGAGAAAAATCATTGGGTGGCTTTGACAAAAATTTACTGTGGAAAATGCCATATGAAATATAATCGCGAATATCCGCAAAACCGTTAAAAATTTTGAAATACTCTAAATACAAAAAATGATTATTTTTTTAATTTTCCATTTATTGGGAAAATAATATACAGCGTGTTACATTCAAAAAAAACAAAGAGAAATTATTTTATATTTTAGAAAGTTTAGCCTAAAATTTTGAACTGTATGATTTACGATTACCATACAGTAAAGCAAGTACAGACCAACTAAAGTAAATGCCTAATATAGTTTTGATTTCAGGACAGTTCTTCTATTTGTAATAATTTTTTAAGGAATGCTGAAAAAATATATTTTTTATGTATTTATTAATATCTCTGAAACTGAAATTATAGAAATATATTCACTCATATCTAAGGATTATGTAAACTCACTCGCACAGGGTGCTCTCCTTCCCAAAATCATTCCGATCCACTCACACTTTTTTGAGCCACCCTATAGAAGTATTTTCCTGAAATACATCCTCGTACATACTTTAGGTTTACACTTAAACAAAATTCCCAAGTTTTTTATTCTAGGGGCTACAGATACCCGATGCACTATTGCCGAACCCTGTATTCCGAGAAAAGAACATTAATAAATAACAAAAAATAAGGCAACTAGAGAATGTTGAATTAGCGACACACCGCATTTCTAAAAAAAATTAGTTTATCAGAAATGTTTTCTATTTTTGATTTTGCAAAAAATGCAAACTGTAGCTCAACAAACTGCTAAAGCCAAAGATATTTAACCGAGTTTAAATATCTTTGGCTAAAGCGCTGATGCGGTTTGTCAATATGTCGATTTGGTGCGCCAATGTGTCGATGCGATGGGTTGTGCGGCGGTTCGCCGATTTTTGGATGCACCATCAAAAGCAATTTCACGAACACAATGGACACCATATGGACACATTTTCCAACGAACTAACGAAATGTATACGCACAAACAGCATCATACTCCCTCTCCCTATGCGTGCATGAACGCATGGCATCAAAGCAACGCATCAGCGTATAGTGAGTAGAGCCCCATACTCACTATTGGTTTATGCGATTCGTCGATGCGGTTCGTCACTGCGTCGATTTGGTGCGCTAATGCGTCCATGCGATGTTGATTTTGCGGCGGTTTGGCGGAATGTCGTTTTTTTGGGCGAACCATCAAAAGAAATATCACGAACAAAATGGATGAATTTTAAGTGAATTTCCAAACGAACTAACGAATCGCATCGACGAATCACATCATACTCACTATAAAATTATATTTAATTCTTTTTTGTTTCTCTTTTTATTACAGCCCTGTATTAATAAAATTGCTCATTAATGTATTATTAAAATTGCTCAATAACATCTATGCTTTTTCAACTGATTTTACTAATATCCGTTGTATTTTTGAGCGGCATAATAAAAAGAAAAAAGATAAACAAATCATACGTACAAACACAAAACTTACCTTTGAGACATTGGCCTAATACGGATCATCACTTTTAAACGCATTTTTATATTGGAATGAGACTTATATTCTTAAAAAGATTATTATTTAAACTACTATTCACTACTTTGTTTTAGTTCTTTGACAAATCTAACACCGTTTTACCATAAAAAATTTAACGAAGAAATGTTTTTCTATAAACTACAATGGTAAAATGCTATTTTATAAGGCATAAACTTTTTGAAACGCACTTTGGTACTATATTTGTTCTTTCGTAAATACTGAGCTCTGGAAAAGTTGGTGTGGTCCAGATGCAAGCCGATGTTGTTATGATCCCGTATGCAGTGTTCTATGTTCTAAAATTAACGCGTAAACTTGACGTTTCAAAAGTATACCTTTAATTCTCAGTCTTCTTGAATAAAAATCGCGTAGGTACTTTGTCTGCTTAAATAATTCTTAAATTGCTACCCTTATATACCTTTGTATTTAATATAAACTTGATTACTAAGTAATCGTAATCATACGCAAAAATTCGTAAAATAACCGTTTATTTTTCACGCCCTTCATAATTTTAGATGTGTAATATGAAAGCTTACAATCTTTGCGGTTGTTTATTAAAATTGATCCTTACTGCTAGATTCATATTTTTGAAAAGTTTGTACAAAGAAAAATTAACTTCTGTGTCATATGTATACAAGGTGTCTCAGTCTGAGCGTGCATTAGAAGTTTCTAGAGAACTACAATATCTAGATCGGAGATTTTTTGCACATCATTGTTTCACAACGAGATCTATCGATTAAAAATTTTCAATATGGCGGCACTTCCGGAAATACCGGAAGTTGACAACAAAAAATATCAACTGTTTTATCAAAGTCGAGTTGGATGGTTTCGTAGGATCCAAGTAAGATCTGACACCACTTGGATCGTATCAACCGATTTCAAATCAGTTGGTACGGTTTGCTTAAAAAAGTCCTCAAGTACACTTTGACCATATTAACTAGGTTTAATGGGAATGAGTACCCCTCGCAAGAGCAATTTTGTAAATAAGAAGAAATATAAATGAACACTACCACTACCATTCAGAACAGAAAATCCAAATGAATCCAAGTTTATTTTTTCCGCAGTAAAGATGCTTTTTTATACCAAATTTAAGGTCTGGATGACACCATCAAAGTGTGCTGGAATCAAATACACTTACACTTACACTGTTTGGATCATACCAACTGTTTTAAAATCGGTTATTGATACAATCCAAGTGGCGTTCAAATGTATTTGACCGGGTACGGGTGTCCCACTAAGTATAAAGTACGGGTGTCCCACTAAGAATAGCTCTCGGCTGTATCTCGGAAAGTATTAGCCGTAGGGGCTGCAGAAAAAAATATTTATGACTAAAGAGGCTATGAGAAATTGTTGGAAATTATTTTCAAGTTTGTACAACGACCGCTAGGGGGCGCAACTGCAACAAAAAATAATAAAATGGAGTTTTTACACAATTTTGCCTAGATAAGGTGAACTATAAGTAATAGCTTCATAATCTTCAGTAAATTTTGAATATTTTTTGTTTGCGCCATTTTCCTCTATCTACCAAAATAAAGTGGTGGGGGAAGGTTAGATCTGTTTTTATTTAAATATTAATAACTCTGGACTGGATGATCGGAATCCAACAAGCGAGGGCTCATTTAAAAGAGCGTTTCTTACTTTATTTTATACCAATATAAACAATAATAATAAGCTTTTGAACATAGACGCTAGGGGGCGTTGTCTTACAATTTAACACTGCGCGTTTTTTCAAAAAAATTAAATGCAAAGAGTAGTAATAGCTTAAAAAGTTAGCGAAAACCGCATCTTGATATCTTCTTTCAAACCGAAGATATTAGCAAAATTATAATAAATACCAAAAAATAAGCCCTTATATAGTTACCTTATTTTTACAATACGGTATCAGTAGCTCTCTTTTATTAATACATCTGGTATTATGGTATTCTGGTATTTCGTCGATTTTAAAATAAACCAACTGTTTCTATCTAATTTCTTTGTTAGAATGGGCATAATCAAGAGGGCTACTGATACCGTGTTGAAAAAATAAGGTAATTAAGGGCTTATTTTTTGGTATTTATTATAATTTTGCTAATATCTTTGGTTTGAAAGAAGATATCAAAATGAAGTTTTTGCTGACTTTTTAAGCTTTTACTACTCTCTATGATCAGCTAAAAGTACATATACTATTGCATTTAATTTTTTTGAAAAAACGCGCAATGTTTGTTAAATTGTAAGACAACGCTCCCCAGCGTCTACGTTCAAAAGCTTATTATTATTGTTTATATGGTATAATATAGAGTAAGAAACGCTCTTTTAAACGAGCCCTCGCTTGTTGGATTCCGATCATCCAATCCAGAGTTATTAATATTTAAATAAAAACAGATCTAACCTTCCCCCACCACTTTATTTTGGTAGATAGGGGAAAATGGCTCTAACAAAAAATATTCAAAATTTACGGAAGATTAAGAAGCTATTACTTATAGTACACCTTATTTTGTCAAAATTGTGTAAAAACTCCATTTTCTTATTTTTTGTTGCAGTTGCGTCCCCTAACGGTCGTTCTACAAATTTGAAAATAATTTCCAGCAATTTCTCATAGCCTCTTTAGTTATAAATATTTTTTCCGCAGCCTCTATGGCTAATACTTTCCGAGATACAGCCGAGAACTATTCTTAGTGGGACACCCTGTACACTTTGACCGTGTCAACTAAGCTTTAATTTAAATCTAGTACATTACTTAAATATTGTCACTATCCCTCCCTAGGGTTTCCATAAAAGCTTTTGGAAATTCGGGACAAGTGAACTCAGAAATCCAGAGAAAATTCGGCAAATAATAGTCCCGGAATCAACAAAATACAGGGTGTTCCTTAACGACATGCTAATAATTAAGTGGGTGATTCTTGGTCCTATTCTAAGAGAAAAATTTCATATGAATTTATGTCCTAAACATCTTAATTTCTGAGATACAACATGGTAAAATTTTCTAAAAAAACTTTTTTTCACAACTCTGATTTTATTATAGATATACTTATGAAACTTAATACATGTCTTTTATGCATCGAAATACCTTTTTTGGTGTAAAAAGAATTTTATTTATTTCAACCAGTGTTTTTCACCACGGAACCAACATTTTTCGGACACGGAAGGCGTACAATAGCGAAAGATTAAAACATAAAGACTGTGAAAAGTTAAATAAAAAATATGCTATTTACCAGACGTTTTTTATTAGTAATCGACATAAATCGCAACAAATAATTTAACCCAAACAATTTCCACTCTACAAACCCGGAGTTTCAGCAGGCAGACACAGGCCTTGGCTCAATTTTCTCCATTTTCTCATCGCGGAAAAACTCATTGGAAACTTTCCGGAATAACTCATCCAGCGAATCGCTCGACTTTAAGCTCAAGTTCGATCCTTTCCTACTCTTCCTCTCTTTCATTTCCCGCCGTTTCTGAGACCTGTTATCGAAATTACTGTTTGAAATTCTCAAGTGCGAGGCTCTGTAAATCGACGAAATCAAATTTGGAGAAAGCGAATCTCTGAGAGCGTTTCTAGCTGTCGATTGAGCAATCAAACTCTGCAAACTGGGAGAGGGAAACTCTGAGAGTTGATAGTCGTTGTTGAGTTGGTTCTCGAAGTTCTCCTTCAGAGTGTTGATGCTGCGTTTGATGTCATCCTTGGACATGTCTTGAATTTCGAGAGTGTCGTTGTTCAGAGCCTTCTCGAGCAAGGACGTGAGCGATTGGATGCAAGATCTCAAACCTTGTTCTTTGCTTTTCCGTTCCTTATCCCTACGCACGTATTCGCTGGGGGATATAGACAATAGATGTTCTACCTGAAATACAAGTATACAGAGTAACTCACTGATTGGTTAGAAAGAATAGTAGTTTCAGCCCATATAGATAATCCATAAAATATAGTTTATTTAATGCCATTGATTAATTTTGAAAGGCAGCACTATAATTATATATTTTCAGTTACAAAAACATTTACTAAACGTTGTGTCACCTCCATAACTTTTATATTTTTCCAGACGAAAAACCGATATTTGGTAGTTTTGTGTAAGACATAAATCAAGATTGACGTATCAATAATTATTTTCGGTCACATCTTGTTTCACCGAAATCACTACATCTTTTTTAATGGTAGGTAGATACAGTCGATATTTTTTTACGTTATTAGATAGAAAATGACATTCTGAATCGAATAACATATGTCAACATGTTCTCTTAAATAAATAGTATTTTAACTGAAATAGCAAATATGTTAATTATTCGTAAAAAATGCTTTCTTCAAATATGTATGCTAATGAGCCATCCTAGTTGTATTTGAAAAAATCATGTTAATGATTTGTCATGTTAATGATTTGAGGATCTTTTAACCGGCCGGAAAAAAGCACGAAATACATTAGAGGATCGAATCTATATTTTTCCAAAGCTCATTTCGTCGTTAATTTCACAAACTGACGTACCTATCTCAAAAATGCCTGTTTTGAGATACAGCCACAAACTCAAACCTAATATGATACTCTTTCATCTCACGAAGTATTTCTGCGTCCTATACTTTTCCGGCAAGTAAATAATTTAGCAAATGTTTATTTACTTTAACCGATATCCAAAAGTTAACAAAACCTTTAAACCTCCATTCTGGAAAACTATGAAATATGAGATACGACATTTGTAAAATTAACGACGATTTATTCAACACTTGATTAAACATTAATGGTTTTAACACAGCTCTAAATTGATGTGTAAAATGTCATTTTCTATCATATAAAGTAAAAAAATACCAGGATACCATTTAAAAATCAAAAGATGTAGTCATTTCCGGTGAAACAGGAAGTTAGTTAGTATCATCTTTATTTCTGTAATAATTATGATGACTTGGTAATTGCACAGCACCATAATTATTATAAAATAATAATCTACCATCTCGATTACTAAGTAAATCTATACACTGCCCTTAAAAATAAAGTTTTTCAATTAGAATAGAATATTGTGCAATTGCCAAATCATTATAATAAATTATTGCAGAAATAAAGATGACTAATATTGACACTAACAATTTATAACCAAATTTTTGAGTAGGTGCTTAAAGCGAGACTAAATAAAATAAACTGACATGGTTTTACATGAGATCTCACCATAGAGTTAAAAATTAAAAGATCTCACAATTTTTTATAGTGGAAGAATTGTGTTGCGAGACTTGGCATTTTTTACATTATATGTTTTTGATGGGATAATAATTACCCTATCGTGAAAATTGTGCTTCAAGATCGAATCTCCTTTGGATAGCATCCATCCAAAATTAGATCTACTGAACTTTTTTGCGGGTAGTCTGTGAATGGCCGCCTCGTAGACTTGGGGTTGTTTCTGGAAACTTTCAGCTTTTTTCTGGAATACTTGGGTGGTTTGGAGGGTTACTAGACTGTGAAACGACGTCATACTTTCTATAGAAGAACAAATATTTTAACATTTATGGTTACGATTTCTTACAGGTCCTTTGTTGCTGCCGTTACACATGGAGCGGATCGTCCATCCGGACCATCCGCTGATGGTCCCTGTGAAATGTGGCAAAGTTGGAAAAAGATCGTTCAAAGTGAAACGTGGCAAAATGCAAAAAAGTTAAAATACGGATATGACAGTTTTGTTGAGATGAAATTTTCGAACTCCTTTATGATTACTACTTATTTCTTTGACATCAATCCTGCAGGCTAACTTAGCATAACTACGATTCTATATACAGGGCGTTTCCTAAGTAGTCTAAAAATGTAGGGTGTGATTTCTCGTATGTTTTTAAGAAATAAAAGGTTATTTTAACCATGGGTCTAAAGTACTTCCTTTAAATAGCCAGGATTCTCCCCAGAGTGGGGCAAAACTTTTTTAAAGGTGGAGCAAAATGAATGCAAATCAAAAAAGCGTAACACCAAGTACTTATTAAAAAATGGTTTCATTTGTACACTTCAAAACACATTACAGTATACAAAATATTGCAAATTTCTTTGGCAATATATACTTTAATCATAAAGCCAGGGGTGGGGCAAGTGCTCCACTTTGTCTCACCGTGGCTACGCTCATGCTTTCTTTCTAATCTACAGGGTGTTAAAATTAAAAAAAAATCGAATTTCTTGCAATATGTCAGAAACTACTTTAGATGTTCTTTAATTTTTTTTAATACTTATAATTAAAGAACATCGAAAGTAGTTTCCGACATTCAATTTTTTTTTAAATTTCAACACCCTGTAGATTAGAAAGGAAGCATGGACGTAGCCACGCTGAGGCAAAGTGGAGCAAAAATAATATAACAACGTATAAAATATAATAAAAACAACGTATAAAATATAAATATAATATATAATATATCAACGTATAAAAGCAGTTTCTTCCATTAACAGATGTTTTGTCTATTTGAACCAGTGGCGTCCGTACGCACACACCTCTGTACGCCACTGTTTTTTTTCAGGAAAAAATATTTTTTCTTGATTATTAATCTTTTTTAAACAAGATTAATCTAATTGAGTTTTTTTGCTATTGATATTTTAACAAAAAATTTCTGGCACCTACATCTAATGCTGGAAGTACACACTCGCCGAGACGACCCGAGGCGTGACAAAAAAGAACGGTCCTAACCAATAATAATCGATTTTGAGATATGGAATGTAGTTGTTTTTTTTTCTGGAAAACCGTTCGATATACGAGAAAAACTCAAGAGATAAATTTTATTAAAAAATATTGACAGTTAATAAAAGTTAAGAATAAAAATGTTTTTTTTTTTCGAAAAAAAAGTGGCGTACTATATATTTTAAGCAAGAAATTCGATATTTTAAAATTTTTAACACCCTGTAGATCAGAAAGGGAGTACTTTAGACTTAGTCTTCATGTTTATATAAACTTTCTGTCTTAAAAATATGTGAGAAATCACACTTTAATAACAACAAACCAATATTTATAGTTATCCTCTCGAGACCAGTGTTTCAGGCACTGATTAGAGAAATTATTTATGTACCATCAACTACATTTATTATTGAAAATAAACGATTGTTTAAAAAACACCTTGTATATTATAGTATAAGGTTCCTAGACAGAATATTAAGTTTTAGAAATAAATTTTCAAGTTTCTGCCGAATTCAAGGGCTTTATTTGTTAGGAAATATGAGCAAAATTACACCATATATAAAAGATAAAAATATACGCGCCTGGTTTATTCGACTGTTGTAAAAATATTCCTTTGCAAAACCTTAGTTTCTGGAAGCATTTTGAACGAGTTACCTTTGGCTGCGTGTCTGAACCGTAGTCTAGCCCCTGTTTTCGCATTGGTCCTCCTCACCAGGGTGTTGATTTCGAAGATGAGCAGGAAGTGCACTACACAAACGGTTAGGGCCAAGAATATTTCGATGGCAAAGGAAGGATATGATGAAATGCGGACTATAACGGTACTGGACAACAATTTGGCGACATTTCCTATGAATTCGTCCATTTTTTCGGTTGGTTGGTGTTTTACGATAAAATTTTGACAAGGTGTAACATGACGGACGTTTAGATTCTCTTTTGAAGTTGACTGATTTTGTTGTCGTGGTTTTAAATTACTTACAGTTACTTATTGGAATCAGGTCAGTGACCCAATTAACGCCATATTACAGTTTGACCTGCCGTAGTCTCTTAAATATTCTTCAAAATAATTTTAATTTTGGTAATTATTTTCTCTAGGCACATTATAGAAGACATGGTTAGTTAACTTTGGTTTGATTTCTCCAAGAATTTAAATTGGTGAAAAAAATATATTCGGCTGCAATTGCGGCGCTATTGAACACCTTTGTCCTCAATAACGCCAGTTGTAATTTCGATGAAGGAAAAAACTCCGGAAGGCTATAGCTTACTTCGGGTTTCTTTTATTACCGATTCTGAACCGTCCTAGAACTGTGATGCGTATGCGCAGAAGGAAATATGAAGACATTACGTACTGTATGTTACAGAGTAGGTCTGTCCGTTCTGTAGCTACGGGGTATCCGTGAGAGGGGAAACGATATTCTCTCGATGTTTTTCGTAAAAAATTAGACGACGCGTCCCATCAATAAAAATTCGACAAATTTGCATGTAGCCAATAAAATGAGTGGGCGGAGCGATTTGCGGTGACGTACTCGTCAAGTCGACGTATAAAATATATTGCTGTTTATTTAAATATTTTTTGTCCGCATTTCTTTCATAGATACAGATCCAGCAGACATACTGTACAGGGTGTCCCACTAAGAATAGTTCTCGGCTGTATCTCGGAAAGTATTAGCCGTAGGGGCTGCGGGAAAAAATATTTATAACTAAAGAGGCTATGGGAAATTGCTGGTAATTATTTTCAAGTTTGTATAACTACCGCTAGGGGGCGCAACTACAAAAAAAAAATAAGAAAATGGAGTTTTTGCACAATTTTGTCTAGATGAGGTGTACTATAAGTAATAGCTTCATAATCTTCAGTAGATTTTGAATATTTTTTGTTAAAACCATTTTCCCCTATCTACCAAAATAAAGTGGTGGGGGAAAGTTAGATCTCTTTTTATTTAAATATTAATAACTCTGGACTGGATGATCGGAATCCAACAAGCGAGGGCTCGTTTAAAAGAGCGTTTCTTACTCTATATTGCACCATATAAACAATAATAATAAGCTTTTGAACGTAGACGCTAGCGGGCGTTGTCTTACAATTTAACAAACATTGCGCGTTTTATCAAAAAAATTAAATGCAATAGTATATGTAATTTTAGCTGATAGTAGAGAGTAGAAAAAGCTTAAAAAGTCAGCGGAAACCGCATTTTGATATCTTCTTTCAAACTGAAGATATCAGCAAAATTTTAATAAATACCAAAAAATAAGCCCTTAATTACCTTATTTTTACAACACGGTATCAGTAGCCCTCTTAATTATGCCCATTCTAACAAAAAATAAGATAGAAACAGTTTATTTTAAAGACTTCAAATTTTAAGCAACTTTTTTCCAAAGCCTACCATGACTTCACTGAATCATCGATTCTTGTTCACTGTTATTAATATCTTAATTATTAGACGTTAATACCTCTGGTATTATGGTATTCTGGTATTTCGTCGATTTTAAAATAAATTAACTATTTCTATCTTATTTTTTTGTTAGAATGGGTATAATTAAGAGGGCTACTGATACCGTGTTGTAAAAATAAGGTAATTAAGGGCTTATTTTTTGGTATTTATTATAATTTTGCTAATATCTTCGGTTTGAAAGAAGATATCAAGATGCGGTTTTCGCTGACTTTTTAAGCTTTTACTATTCTCTACTATCAGCTAAAATTACATATACTATTGCATTTAATTTTTTTGAAAAAACGCGCAATGTTTGTTAAATTGTAAGACAACGCCCCCTAGCGTCTACGTTCAAAAGCTTATTATTATTGTTTATATGGTACAACTAGCGTGTACCAGCGACTTCGTTCACGTCGAATTAATCATTTGTAATGGTGATGATAAAGCAAAGCAAGAATTTCCATTGACATACAAACTGGATAAAATTTTCTCACATTTATGTCAGCATGAGAAAAAACAATATGGCGATATTATTATATAACTTGGTAATATTTGAGGGGTAGTTTCATCTCGTTGGAATTTGACTATCGAAAAATCCGTTTGCCAAAAATAAGCTTTTTACGTCAAGCAGTTTAAGCAGAATCATGGTTAAGAAATTACCCAACTTTTTGGAACACCGTGTATGATTTTTTAAAAAATTTCAAAATATGTAAAAAAAAACAAATAAATTATGCTTGTCCAAGCATTTTCCCGAAAGACTAACCGTTTCTTAAATAACGAATATTGTAATATTTGAGGGGCGTTTTCACCCTCTTGGAATTTGAGATTCGAGAAACCCCTCCTTATCGAACCTCTACACCCAGTTCAATCAAATCCGTTTGCCAAAAATCAGCTTTAAACGTCAAGCAGTTTAAGCAGAATCGTGATTACTCAATGGTCATATTTTATGAAACACACTGTATAAATTTATAAAAAATCTTAAAATATGTAAAACAACAAAATAAAATATATGTGTTTAAGAGTTTTTCCGAAAAAATTAACCGGTTTTTAAATAAAAAATATTTTAATATTTGAGGGATAGTTTAGACCCTTAGAATTCGAGTTTCGAAAAATCCCGTCTTATCGAACCTCTACACCCTAAAGTCAATCTGTTTTCCAAAAATCAGCTTTTTACGTCAAGCGCTTTAAGCAGGATCGTGATTAATCAATGACCAGATTTTTCGAAACACCCTGTATACATTTTTAAAAAATCTTAAAATATGTAAAAAAACAAAATAAAATATACGGGGTTAAGCGTTTTTTCGGATACTTAACCGTTTTTTAAATAAAAAATTTTGTAATATTTGAGGGGTGGTTTCACCCTCTTGGAACTGGAATTTTGAAAAATCCCTTCTTATCGAACCTCTACACCCTAGAATCAACCTGTATTCCAAAATTGAGCTGCTTACGTTGAGTGGTTTGAGCAGGATCGTGATTAATCAGTATGTCAGTCACTTAAGGATTTTATATATTAGTATAGATATAGAGTAAGAAACGCTCTTTTAAACGAGCCCTCGCTTGTTGGATTCTGATCATCCAGTCCAGAGTTATTAATATTTAAATGAAAACAGATCTAACCTTCCCCCACCACTTTATTTTGGTAGATAGGGGAAAATGGCTCTAACAAAAAATATTCAAAATTTACTGAAGATTATGAAGCTGTTACTTATAGTACACCTTATCTAGGCAAAATTGTGTAAATTTCATTTTTGTGGCATTTTCATTTTTTTGTTGCAGTTGCGCCCCCTAGCGGTCGTTCTACAAACTTGAAAATAATTTCCAGTAATTTCTCATAGCCTCTTTAGTTATAAATATTTTTTTTTTCGTAAACCCTACGGCTAATACTTTCCGAGATACAGCCGAGAGCTTTTCTTAGTGGGACACCCGATACATATTTAAAATAAACAAATGAAAAATTATTATTTTGAAGATTTTTAGGCATTTGTTAAAACAATATTTTTTCTCTTTATTACATTGCGCTCAATTGTTAGTGGGGGCTTTTCTTAGTGGGGGACACCCGATACATATTTAAAATAAACAAATGAAAAGTTATTATTTTGAAGATTTTTAGACATTTGTTAAAACAATATTTTTTCTCTTTATTACATTGCGCTCAATTGTTTACTTTTTCTGGCTAATTATTAGTACTACAAAAAAAATAATTTACTACAATCAATTGCATCGTTTGTAGTTGATAATAAGCCAAAAAACGAAAAGTTTACTTTAAAGCGGGCTCCAACGTGACGGAGCTAATAATATGGGTGTTATGGGGGCCCTCAGCCCACCCGTAGGGCCGCCTATGCTTGTATATCAAACGATATGGGCTTTGATATGGGTATTTATATTTTATTGTGAATGGGGAATGGGGTTATATTTTTTATCGATATTCAGATTATTGATGTGATTATGATGTTTTATATACCTAGTGGGCATTCTCAAATAAATCATAATCATAAAACTATATTATTCTAATAATCAAAGGAATAAGTTGATATTTATTAAGATTTCTTCTACTATAATAGCAACTCTGAACATTTTCGTGCCAGCTTTAGATTTATTTATATACATTTAGTTTTTAAAGGATATACCTAATTTAGCTATTCAAAAGGGGTGTAACTCACAATTATGAGCAAATTTAAAACTTTGGGTTGGTGACAAGTTTATTGGTGCCAGGCACAAAATTTAACAAAACTTTTCTATTAATTACCATACTATTCGAAAATTAACAGCTTTATTTATATGGAAGAGAAATTAAAACGGGTAAAAACGTCTAATTTATTGGCAAACTTTGTCGAAAATTTGTAAATTAAAGATTTTGATAATTAAATTAATGAAAAAAAAAGTAAAGGTAAGGTCCCACCGAGATTTGAACTCGGATCGCTGGATTCAGAGTCCAGAGTGCTAACCATTACACCATGGGACCTGCATGCGTAGTTTTCTAATAACATATACATCTTCTTTTAACGGAGCATGCGCTGAAAATCTGATTTGTTGGTTGCCTAAACATAATTTTAAAAATATTCGTATAAATTATTATTTATATTTATATATTATTGTTCGTATAAAAATTATAAACTGTCTATAAATTAGTATATATGCTGTAAATTGACTTTAGTAAACTTTCTCCAGAAGAAAATAATATTTTTCATAAATTATCGCTGAAAATAACTGAATAATTCCTATAAACATATCAATACGGAAAACCCTAGTGCGCAGGTACGGAAGCAAGCAGCTGGTTTATGTCAAAAACCACGCAGTCGACCTATCAATTCGTTGAAAATCAAAACAAAGAATGTGCACGTAAATAACACTTCAAGAAGCATTTTTCGGGGCTCAAAATGCCTCCTTGGTTCAACAATTGGATACCGGAATGGGTGAAAAAAAGCGTGTGTTCGTGCTTGATCAAAAGATACCTGAGTCAATACATAGAAAATGAAATAACGCGAGATCAACTTAATCTGGATTTATACAATGGACGAGCTACAGCAGAAAGGATCGGCCTTGCTATTGAGGTAAAATTAAATATCTGGTAGTTATTTTAAAAGGAATGTGCTGGTTTATATATAGAAATAGGAACCTTTTTTGTAACACACTGGTCGGCTTGAAATATGTAGCATTTGTGTTGATTTTATTTCATTAAAAATGCATATTTATATTGGTCAATTCTCATGGCTAAACAAAAAACTGCGTAGCACGCAAAAATTACGTGATTCTATAAGAAATTTACGTTTGGCACGTCAATTCCTTCAATAAAAGTATGATAATATTAATGATAATATTTTTGTTTATAACATCTACATTATTTTGATACTAATGAAAATATCATTCTAATTTATATCATATTTCGAAATAAGGCAATAAAACCTAATTTACTATGCTCAACCCTTATAGGGTGATGGCAATAAAATTTCAAAGTATTTGTACAGTGTATATGGCATTTTGGATAGTTATTGGGTATTTCTGCCTTTGTTACCCAGTAAACAGGTAGAAATAGACAGAATACAATAATAACAACCCTAGCAACCCTTAGATAATTTTCTTATTTTTATAAACACTGACTTGCCCTCATGCTAGGTACCTAGGAGGTTATACATATTTCTCCAAGTAAAAAAATAATATGTAATAAAAGTTTATAAAATAATTGTTTATTGTAAAGATATACACATACCTATAATTACATGCATTTATATATTATTACTATATACATATATTAAAAAAATGTCTATACCTATGTGGCGGATTCATCTCTCCAAAAAATCCTATATGGGTATTTCGCCGCGCCACTGCAAGGAAATCTACAAAACAAAATAGTTATTTTTTGTAAACACTGCTGCGTTAATCCAGATTGAAACTACTTGTCAGCAGTTAGGTTTTCAGATATACAAATTTGCCTAAGGAACAAAAAAATGCTTAACGTTTCGGAAAGTTTATCTGTTTCCATCGTCGGAAGCAAAAAAAATACAAAGAATAAAAAAAACTATTTAAAATATTTAAATTCAACTATTCGAGAACACTTTAGTTCTTTAAAACAGATACCTCTACAAAAACCGTTGACTATATATATTATAATTAATTTTAATGAATATAACGTTCACACTATAAGCGCTAGTCACCATCTCGAAAATCGACTAATCTCCTCAGTCTTCTCACACAGTAAGCAGGTAGAAATAGGCAGAATACAATAATAACAACCTCGGCAACCATTAAATAATTTTTTCATTTTCGCAAACACTGACTTTCCCTCATGCTAGGTACCTAGGAGCAAAGAATATTTAGCTATTAAAATTTAAAAACGAAAACTTTTGCCGTTTTCGGGATATGAGAGCTTAAAATTTGTTAGAACGCCGAGCCACCATGCCCACTCGTGACGTAGTTCCACGCAACGCGATTTGCTGTCTCAGTTTGCAACGGAAAGAGTCGTTTAAATTGTGATTTGGCGTTTTATCATTATGTATGTCAATTCTTTGATTTATTTTCATACAATGCAATCAGTAGGAGAAGATATCTCCCAGAAGTAGACATTTTCATGATTATTAGGGTTCAGAATCTGGAAATCCCGTTCTCGAAAGTACCAGGAATTCTCTGGACTCAGTAGCAATAATTAACATATTTTTTGTTAGGTTACGAAAATGTTTTTATACTTTATAGCGGTCGAAATCAAACCTCGAAAGCGGTTGAAAAACAAACAAGTTCCTATAATGTTTGTTGGCAATTATTGAAGTTTAGATATGTTATTTTATCGTTGTATTTGTAAATTTGTATATGTCAATCAGAGCTGCAAGCTCACAGAAAACTTTAGTCTTTTTTTATTTAAATAATTTTAATGACATAAGTCATTTGATTTTAAGTCAATTTTCGAAAGCTGACTTAAGACTTAAAATTCTTTTTCAAAATGACTTGTGATTTAAATCTTTATTCTGAAATAGAAAAAGATTTAAGTCTTTCTATAAAAGACTTAAGTCATTATGGTAATAAGTACTACAAAATCCGTTAAATTTTATAAAAAACAACAGATTTTTGCCTTTGTAGTTGTTCTGAAAATTAACCGTTTTATTTTATCTGGTTTTAGTCTCATCTGTACCTACAATAAATTAATATTATGATACTAGTAAGAAAATCGCCTAATTGGTAATACAAGAAAATTAATATTAGCATTTAAAAAAACGTACTTAAATTGAATTCTGGTTGTCTTGACTTAGGAGTAATTATATTGATTTAAGTCATTTTACTGACTTAACTTGCAGATCATCATTGATTTAAGTCAAAAATATAGACTTAAGTCATAAAAACGACTTAAATAAAGTTATATTGATTTCAGTCTTTACAAAAACGACTTGACTTGAATTAAATGATTTAAGTCAAAGACTTAAGACTTAAATTATTTGAACTTTATGTTGAATTTGACTTAAGACTTAAATCATTTTGATTTTAGAAATGACTTAAGATTTAAGCCTTTTTAAAACTGACTTGTTGCAGCGCTGATGTCAATGTATTTGTTATACAATATGATTGAAGAAGGCCTAAGCGATGGCCATGAAATGAAGATCGCCGTCGTATATAGAAAATTATACGGGAAGTGTCATCGATCGTCATTTCCAAGCCAACTGGATGCCTTTTTTTCGATTATACGGTATCTTATGTTCTGTTGGCTTGGTGCATTCTCCGCCGGTGCTGCCACTATCATCGGAGAATATCGTAAACAACTACTATATACAAATACACGGGTTTAAATATTTATTTGTCTTTTTGCATTTATATTGAGTGAAAGAAACACTGCACTACATAAATAATGATCTATAAATTTAAAGTACACTTCTGTAATTGGCAAAAGTCTTGTGAATCGAGTGTTGGGCGCGCTTTCTCCGGAGGCTACAAGGAGAACGACAGTTTGTATTGAAATGAAATTTAGTGAGCATATGTAGGTTAATTCAGAGCACTTTTTAAAAATATAGAGTGTTCTACAGGGTGTCCTCAAAAAAGTTACACATCAAAGTTGTGTTTTTTGTAATGAGACATCCTATATATTAATTGATTTTTGGATTCTAGGAGAAAAATAAAGTTCACATTTAATAGAAAAGTATATCACTGAAATGTAAGGTATTTGACTTATTAACATTTTCTAAAAATGAAGAACAATTTTTAAATTTCAATAAAAGCTACCTAAATTGGAATTTACCTGGTACAGCCTAATATGTAGTTAAATTAACTATTGTACTTTTTAAATCAAATTAAAACTTGATCCAAAAAGTTATTTGGTCACCTTTAAAAGCAAGTTACTCCTTTAGTTTAAATGGAACATCCAGTATATTATTCCCATATTCAATGGGGAATTTATGTCTCTTCAATATACTATTAAGGTTGCCTACTCCTCAAACAAAGTTTTTCCTAGATATTTTCATTTTTATGATATAGTGTGAGTAGATCTTTATTATGTGATAAAATCTAGGGTGGCTGTGATATTTCTGACGTTACTTCAATAGCTTTCTTCAGGTTCTTGTTATTACCGATTCTGAACCGTCCTAGAACTGTGATGCGTATGCGCAGAAGGAAATATGAAGACATTATTTCAATTGCGCATGCGCTGCAGAGTTCTAGGACGGTTCAGAATCGGTAATAACAAGAACCCGAACAAAGCTAATATAGCTTCTAATTAGTTCAACTTTAGCAACTATGTAGTCATCATTGTCAGTTAAAACCAAAATCCAAAAACCAAAAAAAAATCTCAGAAATTTTCTGAAAATAGAAACTTATCCTACATCAGAGAGAATTGATATGATTCTATTATTTGGTGAATGGCAGTGCGTATTCACCAATTAATAGAATTCTTAAATGGTCCTGATTTTATCTAGTCTGGGCTTATTATGGGGATATGTTAAAAACAGTGTTTACAAAACTCGACCAACTATTGTCGACAACATGAAAAATGATTGTGGCTGTTTTTCGAAGTCCAACTCAATGTATGCCTTTTATCAAGAAAAGATCTTTTGAAAAGAGAATAATTTTATGAAGTGAACAGGAAAGGAAGCATTTTGAGCATTTGATTTCATCTAGCTAATTTTTGTTACATAATTATAGGTTTATATCTAGTTTTGATTCTGTGATAATTTAAATATGTTTTAAAGGTGTATCTTTTTATTACAGTATTTTACCCTACATTCTTTAATTTTTGTTAAATTAACACAGCATAGACTAGATTTTTTTTCAAATAATAAAGTAAAATCTAGTAACGCAAAATCATAAAAATGAAAATATCTAAGAAAATCTTTGTTTGAGGGATAGGCAACCTTAATAATATTTTGAAGATATATGGATTCCCCATTGAACACCGGAATAATATACTGGGTATTCCATTTAAAATAAAGGAGTAACTTGCTTTTAAGTTACCAATGTTCAGTATTAGTTTTGTCTCACCCTGTATAACTTTTCGTGTCAAATTTTAATTTGGTTTAAAATACATGTTTGTAATTAAATTTCAGGCTATACAGGGTAAATGCAATTTAGATAGCTGTTATTGAAATTTAAATTTTATTCTTCATTTTCACAAAATATGAAATATGTCAAAATCCTTACACTTTAGACATATTATGCTTCTTTAATAAAATTCACCTTTATTTTTTTCCTAGAATCGGAAAATCAATTCATATATAAGGTGTTCCATTACAAAATACACGAACTTTCATGTGTAACTTTTTTTGGGGACACCCTATATAACTATATACATATATTTTTATAAAATGCTTTCAATTAACCTACATATGCTCCTAAAATTTTATTTCAATATAAACTACCGTTCTTTCTGGACCATTCGCGTCATCTGAGGGTACTGTCACAAGTACTGTACTATAATACCACCCTGGCATCCTGTACTATACCAGCACTCGATGTTGGGTTGCATGTGGGTGAACAACGTTCTATTTTTTTGTCTTTATTTTTTTCACAATTTAAAAGCATGTGAAAGAATCCTTTTGAAAATGCTCCCTCCTTTTAAGAAATAGGAGATAGATACCTATTGTTATACCGGGTGTGTCTCAAAAGTGGCTCACCCCTATAACTTTTTTATTTTTTGAGATAAAAAATCAAGATTTGGTATATTAATAATGACATAAATTAGGATTGATTGACGTATTCAGTTGTTTTCTGTCACTTCCTGTTTCACCGAAAATGACTACAACTTTTGATTTTTAAATGGCACCCTCGGTGTTTTTTACTTTCTTCGATAGAAAATGAGACTCTGAATAGAATGACATATCATATGTCAACTTTTGCCATTTTCGAATATGGATTATTTGAAATTGCAACATGCATTCATAACGACAATTTGACTCGAAATACCAAGTGTGTGGTTCCAAATTATTCGTAAAAAAATGCTTTTTCCAAATATGGTAATGAGCCACCCTCGTTCCATTTCAGAAAATTGAGATATGATTAAAAATACGATTTGAGCATCTTTTAACTGGCCAGGACAAGGCATTAATAATATTAGACGATCAAATCTATTTTTCCAAGGTTCCTTGATTAAAAATTAGTGTTTTTAACTTTTAACACATCCATGGCACTCTAGATTGAAATTTAATACTCAAATTTGCTTTAAGCAAAAATATCAAAAGTTGACATATGATATGTCATTCTACTTAGAATGTCATTTTCTATCAAATAAAGTAAAAAAATACCGAGGGTGCCATTTAAAAATCAAAAGTTGTAGTCATTTCCGGTGACACAGGAAGTGACAGAAAACAACTGAATACGTCAATCAATCCTAATTTATGTCATATACTAACATACCAAATCTCATTTTTTTTATCTGAAAAAATAAAAATTGGCGCCGGGAGGCACGTATAGCCGCCCATACTAAAATATGTTAATATCTCCAAAACTGCGACTTTGACTGATTTTGATGTTATTACAAATTTTGTTGCAAATATTATTCCTAATCTTAATTTGAAAACCGCGTTTCGCTAGCTACTGTAATTTTGGTGTTACGATTTTTTAAAATTTTTAACCCCCTCCCATACCCCATTACACCCCCCCCCACCAAAAACTAATGGCCAGATTCTCGGGTGCCACAGTATTTTTGTGCCAAATTTGGTTAAAATCGGCTCAGCGGTTGTTGAGTTATCGTGTTACAGACGGACGGACAGACAGATACCATGAAAATATTTTGTATTTAGGTCATTTATGACCCAAGTAACTCATTTTGAGTGAAATTAAAAATTTTTTTTTGCCGATCCTAATAGCCTACCTATTGGTATGGTCGGCTAAAAAAGTTATAGGGGTGAGCCACTTTTGAGACGCACCCGGTATTATTTCTGGATACCTATTGTTATATTTTTTTCTTTTTGTTTATTAGTCACAATATTTACTTTAATTTTAAGAGATAAATAAACTTCATTCGTTATTTTAAATATTTTTGTAACTTTTTGAATTCAGGCACTAAATGAACTAAGCGAAGCGCAAAATTGGCCAGTTGAATTTGTTGATGGCTACATAGATATAATACACATTAGTGTACCATGGTCTAGTATATTTACCAGCTCTACCGAAGTTGAAATTTGTGGTTTAAAAATAACAGTTCAGCCAAAACAAAGAAAAGAAGATGGTAAATTTATTTTTTTTATTTTTGGGAGAAGTCTGAATTTATAATTAATCTTTGTAGCAACATCCATGTTTGAATCAATGTGGAATTCCATGACCAGTTCAATGCATTTAGCAGAGGAGTTTGCCAAAAATGAAGCAAAAGAAACTAGTACGCAAGCTATTGAAGGAATAGAGATATTTGCGCAAACCATAGAATCCAGTATGTATGCAAATTAAAAAAAATACAATTTTTTATGTGTAGCAGAGCTACTGCTGCGGCAATATTGCATTTACAATATGATGTGAATGCAGTTTCATATTAAATAATCATGTTTTTTAGTTGTTCGTAAGATTAAAGTTACTTTTAAGGATACAGTTATTCAAGTGGAACATTTGCCCAAAGAAAGTGATAAAGGTGTTGGACTTTTAATTAATATTGCCTTGTAAGTTTACTTCATCAAAGAACTTCATCATTATTTATATTAAATATTAAAACAAGTTGAATTTTTTTTAGAATGACATATTGTGATGAGGCTAGTTTTGAAGATCCAGATTTACGAGGTACTAGAGATTCAAATTCAAAAGAAGATCCAAAGAAAGCATATTTAATTGACTCTTTTACCATAAAAGATATTGTTATAGAAGGTGTTAAATTATCTACCATAGAGTTCCCAAGTGTAGAAAGGACTATTTCCAGATCTATATTGACGTAGGTTTAGTTTCTATATATATAATCTGTGTAGTAAAAGAGTTTGTGATAGTGACAATTATTTTCTGTCATTTTAGTTCACAAATACACTCAGATGCAAAAAAACGCAACGGAAAAATTTTTGTTTTAGTTTAAAATGTTATATTTTTTTAATTTTTAGTCCTATTTTCGTGATTTTTTCGCAAACTGTACGAACTGAATCTGTTTTTCGCAAACCAAGCCTGTATCATTACTCTTTAACGTTTTTTAAATTTTAATATAGAGTTCTAATCAGTGTCGATATGACATTACGACAATAGTCACCAAAGCCACCGCGTGATATTAAAAAATAACACCATAAAGTAATGATAATTCAAAAAATTGCAAATTGTTGGTGTCAAGTTCATTTCGCTCTTAAAAATTAACCAAGGCATATGTTGACATGAATCAAAAAAATAAATTGCTCCGGAGACATGGTTTATTTGATCGAAAAATAATGTTTTAGGAAAAGTTATTCACGAAATTATTGCACAGGGTTTTTTAGAGTTAGCAAATAAAAAATAACCCTTCAGTTGTATAATAAGCCAAATACTAAATCTTATATAAAACTGGGTTTGTGAATTAAAGTTGATAGATTTATATGCAGTTTGCTAAAAAAATCATGAAAATCGGGCTAAAAGTAAAAAAATATAACAATTTAAACTTGACGAAAAATTCTCTGTTGCGTTTTTTTGCATCTGAGTGTATATTGTTTGTTCTATAATTTTATGGATGTTGATTATTAAAATCAAATATATTAGGGTTTCACTGTTACTTATTCCCTTGATATATATATATATATATATATATATATATATATATATATATATATATATATATATATATATATATATATATATATATATATATATATATATATTTTGCTATTAATTGTTTTGTTCATAGAAATAGTAGTTGTACTTCAAAAGATGAAGAAAGTTGTAGTGAATTAGAAGAAATTGAACCGAAGGACGAACTGCCAAAAAAGTTAGAATATTCAAATGATGATGACTTAAACCCTGAGAGGCATATCATTGCGTTTGGTAACTTTTATAACAAACTAGAGGTAAGTTTTTGCTTACCAATTATTACCTTTTTATATGGCACACACAACTATAAATTTTACATGCCATACTGTATTTGGATGTAAAATTATTTTTACACACTGCTCTATATGTTGCATCAAAAATTTGTTTTGTATTCTTCAAATTTTAGCTTCATAAAATAGCCTGTTTGTTATAATTAACTATTTTTAATTATTGCAATTTACTACATAAGTTCTGTAAGATCGTGCACACACGGGTCGTCTCAAATTTGAAGCGGAAGCGTCTCGAACTCTACCCTACGTAAATAATAGTAGGTTCACGAACGGGTCGTTTGGCGGTCGACGCGGAGTCGTTGTTTGTCGATGTCTATTATTTACATAAAAAGGTAGAGTGGAGGGAGATCCGCTTGGGGTTCGAGACGATTCCTCTTCGAAAGCCAAACGACCTGTGTGCGGACGCTCTAATAGTTATATTGTGTTTGCTTATTTTAAAGGTAAAAATGAAAATAAAACAATCTGAAAACGTTAGCGGACCCAAAGTGGCTATAGAAATCAACTTAGGATCTTTGGTATTGTTCTTGTCACCTAGACAGTTTCATATTTTGATGGAATTGGTAGAGGGTTTTTCATCACCAGATTTAGAGGACAATAGGTAAGATCTGTTGTAAGCGTGGTTAGTAAAACAAAATAAAATAGCAAATCGTAATTAAAAAAATGACTTTATCATAAACTGCGGTTTACAAAAGAGATTATAGACGACTAAAGTAAACTAACTTAAAGTATACCAAACTCTCATTTAAAAACGCTGACACAGATTGCGTCACCTTATAGATCGTAACCAAAACAAAAGTAACGAGACATTTTATATCCTAGACTCAAAGTTAAATGTGTAGTCAGCATTATACTTTTATATTTCAACAAGATCATATCCACTTTTGTGAATAAAGAAATCCCTCTGTTGTCAGCATATTGTTATGGATTTCAGTGGTCCTTTTAGACAAATACTAACACACTTAAAGAACTCCGTAAACAGCTAAAAACAACACACTACTTAATAACACTTAATAATATTACAATAACGACTAACTATTAATTTCCATTAACTTAAAATTAATTATTGCAACTTCACTTCTTCACTATACATATATCCAATAACTGATGTGTTGCCTTGACCGTTTCTATATACCCACAGACACCACTTCTGGCTTGAAGTTACGTTTTCTTCTATACATACATGCGTGACATATTAAAATATAATATTTTTAGGCACCCTCGCACCTCGCACCCTGTTCCTATGTCCAACCTCAGCACCTGGTCATAGAAGACGTTCCACAGCGTCGGGCCAAGTACTGATCCCTGAGGAACCCCGCAACTCATTTTATAGGTTTGGCCGTCCTCCGCCTCTATTTTCCTGCATGATAAGTAGGACTGGATAACCCTAATTAGGTACCTACTGATGCCCATTGACTTCAATTGGTCTATAATACCCCGACAGGGAGCAGAGTTAAATGCGTTTTTCACATCCAACGTGAGAAGGGCTACGTATCCCCTACTCTTCCAGCTGCGTTGCCTTATCAGGTCGACCTTGTCCACAATTATGTTAAGAGCGTTTATTGTGGATTTGCCCTTTCTGAATCCAAATTGCCTATCGAACAGTCTATCGTTTTCCTCCAGTTCAGTCTCCAGTCTAGCTTTTATTAAGGATTCAAAGAGTTTCCCGCTGGCATTAACTAGGCATATTGGTCTGTAGTTTATCGCAGATGAACTCTCCATTTTGGGCTTTTCGATCAAAACCAGCTTTCCAACCTTCCACAATCTCGGAAAATGGCCCCGGACTAAGCACCAATTCATAACGTTAGTAATGGACTCCGGATCCTTCAAAGCTGCTGCTTTCAACACCTCTCCAGGTATCCTCTGAACGAACTAGAACTAAGGAACTAGTACCTCCCAAGGAACAGGAATTCCCGCCTCTAATACCGTCTATATTGTTGCGGGCCGGTGTGGACTCGACCTAACCTCACAATATGGCCCGCCCTCGGATGACCTTAACATCGCATAGACACCGCAATGATACATTCGTTCGAGAAGAATCGAGTCCCACTGGAATGGACTAGTACATACGAGAACATTCGAAAACCTTCTCTACGCACCTAACGATCTATGGACAATTCTAGAGTTCTTTACCTGTCGGTATAAAAGCCGGCGGCGGTGGCCTACAGGGGGCAGTTATAAATATACAGTTGACGCGCTAAAATTCAAAATAACTTCTTAGTTATAAATCGTTTGTAAATAGTTCTATAAGTCTTTTATCGTTATTATTTTTGTTAATTAGTGTTAAATAAATAGTGTTTAAATAAATTGTGACTTTCTATCCACACGGACCGACGAAAAACGTAACAATTGGTGTCAAGTGTGGCGTGTGTGATAGACTAGAAAAATAAAAAAAGACTAACAATGGCTCGAAGAAATTGTTGAAAGACTTGAAAGTGTCCGAATTAAAATGCATACTGGAAGAGAGGGAATGCGAGACAGATGGAAAGAAAAGCATTCTGCAAGCCAGACTGAGAGACGTTTTGATTGAAGAAGGTGAGGATCCTGACACCTTTTGCTTTGAGCTGGAAGGTGACCTTGACTCGTCCTTACAAAAATTAGAAGACAATTTGAATAATAAAATCAGTGATAAAATTATGGAAAATGCCCAGGATTTAATCAATACATTAGAAGATAAGATCATCGAAAATTCTAAAGATATACAGGCCAGCTTTAATAATAAAATAGTAATTTTGGAAGAAAGTTTTAACAATAAAATAACAGAGATTGAGGAAGATGTAAATAGAAAAATCGAAATTTTAAAACAAGAAATAGCAAAGGCAAATTCACCAAAATGTCAAGAAACATCGGAGGCACCGAAACTAGTCGAAAATAAGTATATCTCAAAATCAGTTATTAAGCCTCCACAGTTTGACGGAAAAACCGCTTGGGCCAATTATTTTTGCCAGTTTGAGGCCGCTGCGAGAGCGAACGGATGGACAATCGCTGAAAAGGCTACCGCTTTGACTGTCGCACTGCGAGGAGATGCGACTGGTATTCTGCAGACATTGTCACCATCGGAACAGGGAGATTATCAGCAATTGGTTCGACATTTAGAAATGAGGTACGGCTAAGCTCATTTGGAACATGTCTATCATTCCCAGCTAAAAAATCGCATTCAAAAGTCAAATGAGTCTCTGCAGGAGTTTGAAGCCGACGTAGCCCGCCTCGTTCGCCTTGCGTACCCTGCTATGCCCGAAAATGTTATGGAGCGCTTAAAAGTACAGGCTTTTATTGATGGTTTATGTGACAACGAGACAAGGCAAACACTTCTTTTAGCTCATCCAACGCATTTGGGAGATGCCCTAGCACGTGCCCTGGAATTTGAGGCCGCGAAAGAATGCTCTAGGTCTCTAGGATTTGTACGGGCTGTTGAGGAGAGTTCCGACGATTCCAAAGTGGAAAGGATTGTGCGGAAAGTACTGGATCAGTATATGAGTAAGAAGGGGGGACCGATTCGCTGTTGGAATTGCGGACAGATGGGAAATCGTTGCAAAGAAGAGAAAGAAGTGAAAGTCTTAAGGACGACTGTGGTTGGTGATAGTTGGCAAACCGAAGATCTTGCAAATGACCAAATCAGTGATCCAGAGTTGGGCTTGGTGATTAACTGGAAAAACGCGGACCAGAGACCAACGTGGGAGGAAGTTTGCAGATATTCGCCGAACGTGAAGTCGTACTGGTCCCAGTGGAATTCATTGGTAATAGATAACGGATTACTTCGCCGTGTGATTGAGAGACCAGAGAGACAAGAAGAGAGAAGGCAGATCGTCATTCCAAAGAAGAGGGTCCCGGAAGTCTTGGCGGAAGTTCACAATGGAACCAGCGGTGGACATCTTGGTGTTACCAAGACACTTGGCAAGCTGCGTGAACGGTTCTACTGGGTGAACTGCAAAGAAGATGTGAGGGCCTGGTGTAAGAAATGTGACATTTGCGCAGCCATTAATGGGCCACAAAAGCGTGGTAAAGCCCCTATGCGCCAGTACAATGTTGGTAGTCCCTTCGAACGAATAGCGATCGACGTGGCTGGTCCTTTCCCGGAGACGAACGATGGCAACAAATACATTGTGGTAGTAATGGATTACTTCAGCAAATGGGTCGAGGCCTACGCGTTGCCAAATCAAGAAGCGTCCACGATTGCTGATGCCCTTGTTAAAGAATGGATCTGCAGGTTTGGTGTTCCCATGGAGCTTCATTCAGATCAGGGAAGAAACTTTGAGTCCAATCTGTTCCAAGGCGTCTGTGAAGTCCTGAACATCCGCAAGACCAGGACGACTGCTCTACATCCACAATCCGATGGGATGGTTGAACGCATGAACAGAACTATCAACCGTTATCTGGCCAAAGTAGTCTCTGACCACCAAAGAGACTGGGACAAATTTCTTCACCTGTTCCTGTTGGCCTACCGTTCATCCGTCCAAGAATCTACAGGGCAAACTCCAGCCAGCATCGTTATGGGACGGGAAGTGCGCCTACCCTGTGATCTGAAATTTGGTTGCCGACCGGGAGAAGAAGTCGCCGGAGAAGATTATGTCCACACACTACGTCAAAGGATGGACGACATTCATCAGAGAGTCCGCCTAAATATTCAAAGTGCTAGTGACCGAATGAAGGAACACTACGACATTCAAGCTGAGCATGGAGGATACCAACCAGGGAAGTTGGTGTGGCTATATAACCCGCAGAGACGTCGTGGGTTATCTCCGAAGCTACAATCCTCGTGGGAAGGGCCATACGAAGTCATGGATAGAATTAATGACGTCGTATACCGTATCAGAAAATTGCCAAAAGGAAAACCGAGGGTAGTCCATTTCAACCGTTTGAGCCCCTACCAAGGCGAAATAGAAGATCGTGCTGGGACCGTGAGAACCTGCAGCTTTGATCCCCCTGATTCGGAGATGTCCTTTGACGATTTCATGGCCCGATACAACAGCAGTGAGAAGGCTCGCTATGGTGTAACCAAAGAAGATCAACGAGACCTCTTTTCCGTGCCTCCTGATTATTCGCTCGCTCATTGTGTGGCTCGAGATTTGCGGATGTCCAGAGGAATCGCTGCGACGTTCAATGAGAAGTTTGGGCGTGTCGGAGAACTACGCCGACAGGATCCAGAGGTTGGAAGCGTCTTGAGGCTAACCGACAATGCACATGGTCAAGCAAGGCACATCTTCTACCTGGTCACCAAGGAATGGTCCCCGAGTAAGCCGACTTATCTCAATCTATGGAAGACCCTGATTGAACTGAGAGAAGCCCTGCTAAACAACAACATTGCACGATTAGCCATTCCGAAGCTGGCGTGTGGACTCGATGGTTTGAGTTGGCGTACAATCCGGAACATGATTGAAGTCTTGTTCAGATTTACGGGAATCGAGATCCTCGTTTGCTGCTACAACCCAAAGCTGAGATCGGGAGAGAAAACTGTAGACTGCTATTTCTACCAGACTTCGCAATGTACCAGGGGCCAGCTTTGCAAATACCTTCATTCACCGTATACATCTCGGGACGAGCATGTGCCTAAGAAGGGGGCAGTGTTGCGGGCCGGTGTGGACTCGACCTAACCTCACACCTATAACTTTTTGGGTGACCTTAACATCGCATAGACACCGCAATGATTCATTCGTTCGAGAAGAATCGAGTCCCACTGGAATGGACTAGTACATACGAGAACATTCGAAAACCTTCTCTACGCACCTAACGATCTATGGACAATTCTAGAGTTCTTTACCTGTCGGTATAAAAGCCGGCGGCGGTGGCCTACAGGGGACAGTTATAAATATACCAGTGCAGTTGACGCACTAAAATTCAAAATAAATTCTTAGTTATAAATCGTTTGTAAATAGTTCTATAAGTCTTTTATCGTTATTGTTTTTGTTAATTAGTGTTAAATAAATAGTGTTTAAATAAATTGTGACTTTCTATCCACACGGAACCGACGAAAAACGTAACAATATTAATCTTATGGTGTTAGATTTTCAGCTCTACTTAAACTTAAACCCGTTTGCTTTGCTTTCGCACTTCTAAATAAATAGAAAAAGCCGCCACGTGACGGATCACGGTGTCATTCACGTTTTAACCATTCACAGTTTCTGTTTAAATTGCTTACAGCTGTGAATTGCTGAAACATTTTTTGGGCTTCTTTTTTTATTATTATTTTCACGCATCTTATTGTTCTGTTTTTGATGACTACTTTTCAATATACGAAGATAATTCTCTTTACCTCTACCCTCCATACTCTAGTATAACAGAACAGCTATTTAAGGACTGATTCTTACTTGTTTTATCATAATTTTTAGCAACGTACCGCACAAGAATCAGTTTCCGTCTAGACCAATGACACAAAAGGATTATGAAAGAGTTGAAGAACAACTGGGAGACCTACTAAACCCGCTCAATCAATTTCAACCCTTTAATTTGCAAAAAACACATGGTTGGTCTGCTGGTACTTTAGGTTTGTGCTTGTGAGATAGCTATCTGTCACTCTTATGTATTTTTTTCTTCTGTAGATGATAGTACAGATAGTCAGTATCTCTTAATGAAAAATGCTACAAGTGCCATGTATGACAGTAACATTAGTGGAATAAGTAGTTCAATGGATTCTAGTATGACGTCAAGTATGGTTAGCTCCATGACTGATAACACGAACCATACACGAAGACGAGGTAAGGTATCAAGCAAGATACACATATAATTACGTAATATATGTTTCAATCCATCGTAAACGATTGTAGTACTCAAATGTATTATAGGACTATATTGCTAGTAAGGAACCGAAATTGAAGCCAAATTTTTGACATGGACCTATACAAAATCCACATAAGTCGGTCCTTTTCGTTCGATAGCTTTGAACTACGCAAGCGTGAGAAGTGCTTCGCGATTAGTTGATTTATTTCATACTAACCAATAGAAGTAGTTTTCTAAGTTTCTATCTACGACTATTCGCGCCTTTACTTATAAATTTAAATTTAATCTCGACATATTTAAACAAAAACAAGAAACGGATAGATATAATGAATATCTAAAATAAGAGATTAAAATATTGCCATTACCAATAAAAACATAATATATTATACGTTATTAATATTTAGAGTTTAAAATAGGGCGCGGGCAGGTGACAGCATTCAGCGACGAAGTAGACGAATCAGATCGTTTTATTTGGTGTGTGCGCATGAAAATCCTGTTGAACCAAAAGGATGGACTTATGCAAGATTGATATTCCTATTTATTTTCTGTGGCTTCAATTTCCACTCATTGTGTAAATGCGGTACTAGCAATATAGTCTTATAATATATTTGGTAGTACTAGAATATAGTAGTGATGTAACGATTATCAAGTTTTTACCATTCGCGAATGAGAATCTCTCGCTATATTGGTGAATGGAAATGTGAATAAAAAGTTATGGATGTTATAATTAAGAATAAAAAGGAACTTTTAAATATATTATAATTGTTTGAAAAAATTAATTGTAGAATACCTTGTTTGTTAGTAGTATGTTTAGTTAAAAAAGAATTTCGTAATAAAAGTATTTTTACGTAATTTAAGTATATTTTAGTAAAGATTGACATACATTTAGAAGAAGAATATGTTAGATGATGTATGTTAATTTTTTTTGTCAATATTTATTTAAATAGAAGGATATTTTCATGTTGTCTTGATACATATTATAGTATAGTTTCATAAGCAAGATGGTTATTTTTAGTTCGAAATAAAAGGAGATATACCGGGTGCGCCTCAACAGTGGCTCACCCCTATAGCTTTTTTATTTCTTCAGATAAAAAAAACGAGATTTGGTATGTTAGTATATGACATAAATTAGTATTGATTGACGTATTCAATTGTTTTTGCTCACTTCCCGTTTCACCGGAAATGGCTACAACTTTTCATTTTTAAATGGCAGCCTCGGTATATTTTTATATACTCTAAATAGAATATCATATTATATGTCAATTTTTGACATTTTTGCTTTATAAAAATCGTAAATTTCAATCTAGATAGAGAGTTGTCTTAGAGTGTCATGGCTGTGTTAAAAACACTAACTTTTGATCAAGGAGCCTTGGAAAAATTGATTTTATTGTCTAATGGTTTTCGTGTCTTGTTCTGACCGGTTAAAAGATGTTCAAATCGTATTTTTAATAATATCTCATTTTTTTTCAAATGGATCAAGCGTGGCTCATCAGCATATTTTGGAAAAAGCATTTTTTTACGAATAATTTGGTACCACACACTTGGTATTTCGAGTCAAATTATCGTTATGAACTGCATGTTACATTTTTAAATAAGGCATATGCGAAAATGTCAAAAGTTGACATATGATATGTTATTCTATTCAGATTGTCATTTTCTATCGAATAAAGTAAAAAAATAACGAAAGTGTAATTTAAAAATCAAAAGTTGTAGGGCATTTCCGGTGAAACAGGAAGTGACCGAAAACAATTGAATACGTCAATCAGTTCTGATTTACATATGTCATATACTAACATACCAAATCTCATTTTTTTATCTGAAAAAACAAAAAAGTTATAGGGGTGAGCCACTTTTGGGGCGCACCCGGTATATAAAAATTAATAAAGTTTAAAAATAGAATTATTGCTTTTTAATTTCTATTGAAATATATGTAAAAAAATTAAAAAGGTAAATTATTGTGTATATATATTATATATATATATATATATATATATATATATATATATATATATATATATATATATATATATATATATATATATATATATATATATATATATATATATATATATATATATATATATATATATATATATATATATATATATATATATATATATATATATATTTCTTTGTTCAATTTACCCAATGTTAGTTACATTTTATATATTTTTTTAACCAATTATATTTATGCCTCAAAAATATGCGAATATTCGTTACATCGCTAATTTATATTTATATTTGAAGTAGAAACCAAAAGGTAGGAAATTAATCTACTTTTTTATGAATAAATTTTCCATTTTGAATATTTTTATATATGGAATTTGTGGTTTTTATTTCAGTCAGCAATCTTGACACTGACCCTACTGCTGAGATATCCCGATTTCAAGTTCGTTTAGCCTCATTGGCCGTTATTCTTTTGCACGAGGACATTCTCACTCATCAGACTGACAACGAGAAAGTTCTAGTCAAGCAAATGCAAAACACCGTCGAAACTTTCTTTAAAAACATAAATGCGAACATATTTACTAGTCTGAGTCACCAAGGATTCGATCAAATACATAAATTATTTGATGAAGCGTGCAACTTAAGCCATTTAAGGTAAGAAATGCTGCCATTAATTTATATATTGCAATTTTTTCACATTCTTTCAACATTGTAAGAGTAGGCGTTTTGTCCCCGATGTCGCTAACACGTTGCCATCAGATTTTGTCAAATTGCATTTTAAAAACAAAGTCAAAAGTTTAGTTGTTGCGAATGAGTTTTATTAACCATGTGTGATTTCATTAGTCTACTGTTGGCAGCACAAGCCATCCACACTGCGCCGACAAGTTGTCGTAAAATATACGAATAAAACATAGACACTTTGATCTTTACCGACTCGAAACGGGACATTAAAAAGTCTACGAATTTTGAAACAAAACAAAAATGTAGAAATGTATTCGATTTGTCGCAATTTTGTCGTAAAACATGAATGTTTCTGTCTTGTCACTGTTTTGTCTGCTTGGTTTGTTGAACCCGGCTTTACATATGGGACCGGAAGAAGCACATAATTTCTTTTATCCACATAACGGACAAATGAAGCATTTTTGTATAGAGGTAAATTGGATCCAATGAACTTATTTTGGTTCTCAAAATACCTAGTAGTTTTTGTCCACGGAATATTGGGACACCCTGTATGGCTACGCAGAAGGCTGCTTACGCTTCGTCCTACGTGGGAGACAAAAGCGAGCGAGCGACGTGTTCGACAACAGAGGGCGATGAGCGCGACTCGCGCGACGGCATATTTCAATTGCCTGCGATGCCTCTTCAGTCGCGCGACTCTCCTACCTAGGACAGCTTCGTAAGAAAACGTTATTTGATAAATACGCGTCGCTCGCACCGCCCCATTCGCGCGCTTTTGTCTCCCACGTAGGACGAAGCCTTACACATATAAAATTGTTGGAATGCAATAGAGAAGCTTATGTTGGTCAGGTAAATTTGTTAAAGGAAAAAACCACTCACAAGTTGGTTTCCCTTTGGATTTTGAGATAGTTAGTAGATTTATCAGTTTCAAAATATGTAGATCTAGTTTAATGACAGGTGAAAATTAATGGGGTTTTTTATTTCGGCTCTCCAAAAAAATCCTGTATGGGTATTATATGCCATTGCACTGCAAGAAAATCTACAAAATAAAATAGTTATTTTTTGTAAAAACTTCTGCGTTAAATCTAAACGGACACTGCTTGTCAGAAGTTATGTTTACAGTTATACAAATTTGCCTAACAAAGAAAAAAATGCTTAACCTTTCGGAAAGTTTATCTCTTTCCGTCGTCGGAAGCAAAAAAATACAAAGAATAAAGAAAAAAAAACTATTTAAAATATTTAAATTGAACTATTCAAGAACACTTTACTTTTTTTAAATAGGTACGTCTACAAGAAACCGTTGACGTTCTGTTAAAATGACATTATATTAAGTTAAACTATGAGCTAAACTTCAAAATTAACATTTACTACATGATAACAATTACTTAATAAGGTAAAACCAAAAAGCCCCAAACTTTCTGTATGATTATTTTTAAATTTTACGTATGTTATGTTTATTTATGTTAGGTTCTTTAAAATCAAAGAAGCGATTGCCATATATTACTAACATCTACAGATGCATGTGCAATACATTTATTTTTATTACATTGAATTAAAAAGCCTCTTTTATTTTTCTTTTAGAGGCTATCGCTTCTTTCATTGTAATTTTGGCGTTATTTTTTTTATTTCAGATTGTTATCATCTCCTCTTCATATTGAGGCAGATGAAAAAACTACTTCTACCGCGTTTTCCATAACCGGTCATTTGACAGCCAACAAATTTGATCTTTTGGAGTGTCTACATAATTCGGAAAAGGTCACGTATGTTCCTATAGTTAATTTTAACAGGGCTGGTTCTAGTTTACCCAGTTCAGTTAAGTCAAACGTCAAGTTGAAATTTAAACACGTTCAACGAAGTAATCCTAACAGTAGGAGTCACGGACCAAAATCTGATCTATCGTAAGTTTTTATTATACATTGTGTTTATGATTTTTTTATATGCAGAGAAAAAACACTTTTTAAGTTCCTTATATATTTTTCATTTATTGATAAAGGCCTCTGTTTTAAATATTGTAGTACTTTAATGTTGTGTGAATTTAATATTTTTGAAGATCTTTTGTATACGAAAGGACATATTTAAATTTTGACTAATATATTTGTATATTAGGGTGCAAAAACTTCTACTGAAAATACAAATTGTGAGCTTTTTGGCTACACTATACAGGGTGCTACAAATTCGAGGTACGAGCATTGGTATCTCGGAAACCGTAATAGATACGAAGATGGTTAAATTGGGCCAGTTGGGGCAAAATTGCGCCTAGAGGTGTTCACCAAGATGCCATCAAAAAAGTTTAAAAAATTTCAAGGATTGCTGAGTCTTTTCGAAAAAACGGATTTTTTTGAAAATTAATTTTATTTTTTTCTGTCGTTACTTTTTAGAAAATCAAAAAACTTATTCCATATTCTCATAGCCACTTAATTAGGGCTATAATAGCTGATAATTTGTGAGACACAGAGGCCAACTTATATTTTTTAAATACGGACCTGCATTTTTTATATCAAGTTTTGAAAGAACTCGGTCTCCTGAATATAATGAGATGCAACACTTATATTTTTTTTTTGTTTTGTGTACCTTAATAACAACAAAACTATTTAATTATTATTTAAAATAATTTCAAGTCCGACTCTGGTTTTTTAAATTATTTAATCTGCTTATATTCATCGCAACAATATTGATTAGCGCTAATTAACAATGCAATAATTAATTAACAAAATCAAATAAATAATATCCAGGTAAGCAATTTAAAGATATTATTTTTAACTTTTTTTACTTTGCATTTGAAATTTCAGTGTACAATCTCATAATTTGTATAATATTAATCGTCGTTATTATAAATTAGTTAACTTCTACTAACTAGTTTCTAGTTCGAAAAGGTTATAACCCTCCCTATTGCACAAATTTATTTTTCGTTCAGTTTTATTTATAGCTCTTGGAACAGATCTTCTTATACTTCCGAATGCATTTTGTACTCTTTATTGTAAATGCTGAGATGTACTGATTTCACATATACATATTATTTATTTTATATTATTTTTTATTATTTTATTGCATTTGATTTTCCGTATTCAATGTTTTACCCCACTTCATTGTTAACTTTGAAGGCTTATCAATATTGGAACGATGAACAGATTAAATATTTAAAAAAAAACAGGGCTGGACTTGAAATTAGTTTAAATAAATTGTGCTCAAATGTCCAAAACAAAAAAAAGTATTTAGTGTGGCATATCATTGTACTTAGGATACCGAGTTCTTTCATAACCTAAAATAAAAAATGCAGGTCCGTATTTAAAGAAATTAAGTTGGCCTCTGTATCTCACAAACTATCAGCTAATTTGAAAATATAAAAATACTATCAGATAACCCTAATAAAGTGGCAATGAGAATGTGCAATTAGTTTTTTTACTTTCTAAAAAGCAACGACAGAAAAAAATAAAATTGATTTTCAAAAAAATCCGTTTTTTCCAAAAAACTCAGCAATCCTTGAAATTTTTAAAACTTTTTTGATGGCATCTTAGTGAACACCCCAAAGCGCAATTTTTTTTTTACGCCCCAATTTAACCATGTTCGTATCTATTACGGTTTCCGAGATACCAATGCTCGTACTCGAATTAGTAGTAGCACCCCTGTATATCGTCCTATTGCTGCCAAAAGTCATTGACTAACATTTTTCCGAATAACCTAAAAATTCAATTACTAACTATATTTTGAAGCGGAGAATCGATTGAAAAAGTTATTAACTACGATTTTTGCCTATTTATGCTGTATTTTAATACCGAATAGTCACTAACAAAAACTTTATGCAATATAATTAATCTTTTGATGCGTTTTTCTCGGAAGTAATAAAAAGTAAGTTAGTGACTTTTGGCAGCAATAGGACGATATTATATAATTTTTTGATATTCTTTTTTGCAGGATTTATATGGATAAGTGCTCTGTAGAATGTGATATATCTATAATAGATAGGATTACTGGCTTATTAAATTGTCCCCCAATATGTACCTCAGTTAAGACAGGGACGAACATATGGGGTACAAATCAGGCACAATACAAACCGACCATAAACACAGCTGAAAATGAATCTACTTTAGACCTGAAAGTGATCTGTCCATTTTTGAATTTTAAATTAAGGTATGTTCAAATAATATAACCATTAGAAACTAAATTCTTCTTCGATTTATTAATAAATTAGGAATCATTCAATTTATAGTTTAATAATATGATTTAGGTACAGTCACAGATTAGGTATCCTATAAGTATACAGATAAAAATCTTGTCCCTAATTCGTGGTACGAAAATTGTTTTTTATGACGATGTGCAAACGAGTCAAATTTCCTGTGCGCAAAAATAAACTCGCGTAAAATAACAATAAACAGCGTAATAGAGAGATATCGCTAAACCGAATAGCGTGCATGGACGTTAATAAGGCCAGGTGTAATTTCCTTTACGTGAGGTGGTATTAACTCTCTTCATTTATAGTTATCGGATCGGAAAGAATTCTGATCGCGTCGCGTCCGCTATTTAAACTTAACCTAACTTTGAATTTAAAACTTTGAAATTGTTTTGTTTACTAGGTATTTTAAAACTAAAGGGCTAAAGTGCTTATTTCCAGTGCTTTATTGTTCAACGACTGCCAATGGGTTTAGGGCAACAAGCAACAAATTCTCTTAGAAGGGCTAAGTCGTCATCTGCTGTAAACCTAAGACTCTTTATAGGTTCTTTAGTATTGGAAGAGGTGGAATCCATATTTTGGGCCATATTTATTTAATTAAAACTAATCCCAGCTACTTAAATATCAAATTACCTAATAAAACTAAAGCAATAAGTCAAAACAATTCACACATAACCTAAAATAAAAGATCTCGCCGGCCGGCTCCGGTTGTCAAATACCCGCACATGCCCATTTAAGTAATTTTTAAACGTTATCAGAGGTTATTTAGAAAGAGCGCTTGGTGTAATTGGTCCGCAAATTACGTCAGGCGGTTCCGTTATTAGCGGGTGTTGCGTTAAAAATTGACTCGCGTATATCGTAACCATGATAAGGTACGCGTAAATACTGGATGTCGCTATTCGGTTTTCCGATATCTCTCTAATAACTGTGCTGGTCAGGCGCAGTGCACAATTTTGTCTATTTTCTTCGAAGACAGTATGTGAGAATTTTTACAATTAAAAAAGTTACAAGATTTCTGAAAATTGCTATGCACTACAAGTATGGATGGGTTGTTTAAAATTTTTGAAGGGAAAAAAACAACCTTATCGAATTTTTCTTATTTAAACATATAGCAAAAGATCCGATCTTCAAAATAAAAAAAGTTTCAATGTCTAAAGTGGTTCTTAAGTTATGACGTATTATGTGTTAAAAAATTGAGTTTTTAAATTATCGCGATTTATGACGTTTTATCGTTATAAAAAAAATGACACCCTAACGATATCCTTATAATTCCATTTCAGATGCTCAGAAACATATCTAATGATTTTATCTAGTTATCTTTTCGAAAAAAAAGTAGTTTAAAAATAATTGGTTTGCGATCGTGATTTTACTTGATAGGGAAAGGCGTACCGGCAACGCCGCAACAGCACACCGTCGCTTTTCTCTCACTCCAACCCATAGACTTAAAATAAAATATAGACTACACTATTTACATCTCAACGCGGACAGACAATATTTTTTGTACACATGTTTACTTCTGGGTACAGTCGACCGAGCCTTCCTCATCCAGCCTATGTTGTGACGTCTTTAATATTATCAATATTTTTTTTCTTGTTATACACATATTTTGAGATATTAATACTACAGTTTAATAAAGTAGGTTTTAATATTCCAAAGATGTATTAAATAGTCCTTATACTACTAAATTATAAGTCGGATACTGTTTAAAGAGGATAAGTTCTTTACAATATGACAACACCGATTAGAAGCGAGGGAGCCTATTCATTCATTTATTACCTTGTAGTACGCGTCGCACGTGTGCGGTAAAGCTTTGTTGCCGCTATATCCCCGGCTGTATTAACGCATTTTCTTAGCTTGTAGTCTTTAATTGTTTATTTTATTGACTTTTTCTGTTCAAGAACTATAAAATATGGTTCGTCAGTGCCAAATTTGCAAGAAATTTGACTTAAATAATCCATTTAAGTCTTGAAACAACTTTCGACCGGTAGGCAACTCTCAATATACCCATTAGGAGTAAGTGGCGTTGTTGTAGAAAGGCGCTTATTTAGATAATATTTTAGTAAAATGTAAAATCTGAATTTTTTCTCTTACATTACATTATTTACTTACTTACATTGTAACAAAATCATAATTATAACCCTGTTAATAATTAATAATGCTTTTATTAAAAATATATTCCGGTTTATTCTAAAATTATCTTGAGAATCTAAAATAACATACAAGAATTTTAAAATGATATTACATTATGAAGCAATATTTTTTAATATACCGGGTCGTCTCAAAAGTGGCTCGCCCCTATAACTTTTTTATTTTTTCAGATAAAAAAAACAGATTTGTATGTTAGTAGGTATATGACATAAATTAGGATTTATTGACGTATTCAATTGTTTTTGGTATCTTCCTGTTTCACGGAAATGATTACATCTTTTGATTTTTAAAGGCACCTTCGGTATATTGCTACTTTATTCGATAAAAAATGATACTCTGAATAGAATGGCATATCATATGTCAACTTTTGACATTGTCGCTTAAAAACAAATCGTATTTTAAATTTCAATCCAGGGTGCCATGGTGTTGTTAAAAACACTAAGGTTTAATCAAGGAGCCTTGGAAAAATAGTTTTGATCGTCTAATGGGTTTCGTGTCTTGTCTAGGCCGGTTAAAAGATGTACAAATCGTATTTTTAATCATACATATGTCAATTTTTTCAAATGGAACAAGGGTGACTCATTAGCATATTTGGAAAGCATTTTTTATGAATATATTGATACCACACACTTGGTATTTCGAGTCAAATTGTCGTTATGAACCGCGTGTTACAATTACAATTAAACCATATGCGAGAATGTCAAAAGTTGACATATGATGTGTCATTCTATTCAGAGTGCCATTTTCTATCGAATAAAGTAGAAATATACCAAGGGTGCCGTTTAAAAATTAAAAGTTATAGTCATTTCCGGTGAAACAGGAAGTGACCAAAAACAATTGAATGCGTCAATCAATCCTAATTTATGTCATGTACTAACATACTAAATCTTGTTTTTTTTATTTGAAAATATAAAAAAATTATGGGGGATGAGCCACTTTTGGGACGCACCCGGTATAATACAGTACCGAGTTAAATAAATGTAGTTTTTATTTTATCCACTTCCTATCACCTTCCTTGCTTTAATGGAACAGATTTATGTTTTCTATAATTTACATAAGACATCACTTAACCAGAAAAAAAATTACAACAATCATATTTTTTTTTTCTCCCTGTCGCCGATTCTATTATATCTGTGGAATAGATCCTGTTTTAATTAATATTAGGGGTTGTAAATGTTTGACTAAAATTAATAATTTATTATTAATTTCAAAAATTACGTAATTTCGATTATAAAATTTCTTCTATAACGTGTATTTTATTATTTTTATCCTTTTTGTACTCTAAGACGTTTTTTTCTAAACTTTTATTTAAAAACCTGTCCTAAATCTTAATAAAATATAAAAAAGTTTAAATACGATATATTTTTAATTTAATTATAGCTTCATTAAAATAAAAAAATTACCCGGCTATGATACGGAGAGTTCAGGTATACTTGAGAAACGAAAGACAGTGTTGTGTTTCTCGGCAGAGTCGTCAGGGAACGACCGTTACGACAGAGACAACCTATCTATCGTTCGTGTCGCACTCGTTATAACCTAAAACAATAACACAACAATAACAAAACAGTGTCTAACTGCATGTTCCAGCTATTTATGAATGAGATGCTCAGTCTATATTTTATTTTAAGTCTATGCTCCAACCTAATTATAAACGTTGTCTCTGTAGATTTTGCTATGGTAGCTTGAGGGCGCGTCAACTATAATAGTCTATTTCCCTCGAGCAAATTTTTATCGAAAAACGCCAAATTGTGATACAAGCATGAAATTTGGCATAGTTATAAAAAACGATATTTTAAGAGATTTGACCCGATTAGCCACCCTCCCGGACCCGTAGGACACCCCATACCGCCATTTTGAGAAAATGGCGGACAAAAATTTCTTACATCTTAGGCTTTTTTAATATGGGCGATATTATACTCTATATTATATAATTCGAGGACGGAGAATCCAAAAAAAAATGTTTCAGGTCGATATGACCTTTACTGGCCTTGAAAACTGCTTTATGATTAAAAAAAATTGACATTTTTGCAGACTTTGGTTAAAAAAATTAAACGGCTAGAATGAACGAATTTATAACAAAAATAAGTAATTTACATTAAAAAAGTTAAAAAAAAAGTGTTTTCCAAAATTATAGCTGTCAACGACGATCATAGGCGGCGCATGGATTTTTTGAAATATTTGTTAAAATTTTCCGGAATTGACTAAATGAAACTGAATGGCCTTCCAAATGATTTTATAGCAAATAAATAAAAAAAAATAAAATAAAAACATTTTAATTTTTCGGGGAATTCTCATCGAGGCGACCTGTCAACCCTGTACGCATTACGCAATCCGTATTGCTTATTGTTTTATCGTTTGTATCGTCACGCCGAAAACTAAATTTGCATATTGCTGGTTTTAGATTTTAAAGACTGAAATTGTCAAAACCAAAACCAATTTTAACAAGAAAATCATTAATCGGGCAAAATGTTTCTATAAACTGGGAAAATTATTGTACATGTCAAGTAAAAAGAGGTCAACTCAGAAACCCTCCTGAATAATCCAGTCAAAAAATCTAAAACAGGTTATGAAACAATTGCTGCAAATCCGTCACAGTTGAGTGAATTGAGACATGTGCTAATTTTTTACACAGCTAATTTTTTACATGAAGGAGATGGAATAAAGTCGGCGTTTGAAAAATATAATGCTCTTATATATTTATTATAATATATATATATATATATTCTTATATACTGGAGATCGATTAAAAAGACTTTTTAAAAAACTCCAGGAAAAGAGCGAAATCCAAGAAAACGACCATCTTGAACACGAA